AATCAAACTGTCCAGGGTTTTTTGAGGTGCACACCAATGTGTACACGGGATCTCGGGTTTTCGTCACATCCGAACGACTAGACATTGTCCTTGCCTGACCCGGCCCTATCCCTATTTACATCTCGTGACCTATGACGAAATCTGTAATAGGTCTTAGCTTTTAACCCTAACCGTTTCAGCACAAATTTACATATCTTAACACTGATTGGCCAGTTTTGAGCTTCCAATATGTCTGCCTCTAAGACCGATAGTATTTAAGCCAGATAACTTTAGCATAAACAATTTGTCTACAATATCACCTTAGGTGGAAGTGGACGTAAAACTCTAGAAACGAACGAAGCATAAACAAACTTGTGTACGATATCACCCTTGGTGGAAGTAGACGTTAAACTCCAGGAACGAACGAACATCATAATTACTATCTGCCCGCGTGTTTAATGTACCAATATGTATATATTCGGTGGAAACCGGGTATGGACGTTTGGGGTATGATCCAATATTGTGAAGTCACGCATTGCAGAATTGCCAATTAAAGGGGAAGACCAACGATTTTCAACAAGGTTTCCATAAATCTTAAATATATATTGATAAATAATCCCCTCTGTAACACAAGCAAAAAAGTTTTTTGTAAGCGAGAAATTATTTTTTATTAAACCAGAAGTGACATAGTTGGTTCAACACGCTCACTGGTCTCTATAGTAAGCATACAGATTTGGCACAAGTTTACTGCTGTATTGTGTTAACGTGTCGTCCTTTGGCCAAAAATCTGATCAAATGGGTTGTTTATTAGTTTATTATAAACACGAATTTATGTTTTTTTAAAGCCGCCGCGGAAATTCACTCATACTGAACAGTACGCTGTGCCTCAATTCACACCACATGGCTAATTGTTTACATCACGTGGTTTGATTGACAGCTTGCAAGTGAGAGATGTTTCATCTGCTTGAATGTTTTTCTGCGTGCTGAGTCTGCTGACATTGTTTTTATTTATTTCAACGAACTTGTGGCACATATATATTCAAATAAATATATAAATTTCCAAACACAATACAGCTGTAAACTTATGCCAAATCTGTATGCTTACTATAGAGACCACTGAGCGTGTTGAACCAACTATGTCACTTCCGGTTTTAATAAAAATTAATTTCTCGCTTACAAAAACGTTTTTGCTTGTGCTACCGATGGGATTATTTATCAATATATATTTAAGATTTATGGAAACCTTGTTGAAAATCGTTGGTCTTCCCCTTTAATATGGGTAAATTTGGAGAGAGAGAGAGAGAGAGAGAGAGAGAGAGAGAAAGAGAGAGAGAGAGGGGATTTAACGTCCACTCGATACATTCGAGACTAACATATGGTTCAATTTTATTTTAACATTTCGATTGCGCGTAGGGGTCTTTAGTAGCAAGAAGAAACCGGAGGACCCGGAGAAAACCCACGAAATTGGACAGGCGACGCTACTCATTGTCACATAGGCCTACAAGCGGGGAATCGAAACCACACCAGTTGGCTCAATGACAGACCTTATGATACAACGCGCTAAGCATTCGGCCATCCAACCCCCTAAATTTGGAGGAACATTCTCCGTTACATATTTGCCGCAAATGTTATTATCTTCTACTTCGTGGCATCACCCTGGAAAAGACTTCTGTTTGAGGCTTGCTATTTTTAATAATAGTGGATCACTTTAACATTCGATATGTACAAATCACCGTGCTTATGCTAAATAAATGGCTGAAATGCATAAGTTAAAACTCTGTAAAAAATAATCAAGTTGAGTTCTAAGCATCAACCAAGATTAATCAAACCCATTAAGTTACACGTAATGTGTTTAAAATACTATGACGTTTCATTTCAATTTGTCAATTTATTGGTTTTGTAATGCGCCTTAAGGCGCTACGCCATAACTGTTAAATTAAGGATAGTATTTCTACTCGAGTCACAGAAACTGTGATTACTATGTGAGATGTTTTATAGAGATTAATTCTAACTGCTAGTTGGTTTGATCAAAATAAGTCATTATAAGATGAAAACACCCTGTAGGAATATATCGATCCACACGACCATTTAAATGTATACCAATTAAAACTATTTATTATCCACATGATTAGTATCGTTGTAAATGTTAAAGCGGCAGTCCCAGATCCACAGGGCACCAGTTGATATGAGTGGTACAAGAACACCACAGTGTAAAGAAATAGGCCCAATTAGCCTACCCGCTGCTTTAAGCTCCAAATATTGATTAGTATCGTTGTAAATGTTAAAGGGACAGTCCCAGATCCACAGGACACCAGTTGATATGAGTGGTACAAGAACACCACAGTGTAAAGAAATTAGCCTACCCGCTGCTTTAAGCTCCAAATATTGAGCCTGAGCCGTTGGAATATGATAGCCCGATTTGCTGGACGGTGTTACGGGGAATTTGAGGAATAATCGCCAATGGAAATTGCAAATTTGTATTTCTACAGATTAAGTACAACATACCGTCAAACAGGTGTATAACAACCGAGTGAGGGTTTTCCTGAGTTAACTAATTTGATTCATTAGAATAAACAGAATTACTATATAACACAGTAACCTATTTTATATATTATAAAACGGAGAAATCTAAAGCTGCTGATTCAATTCTCTAAGAGATTGTAACGTCTGTGCAAATGTGAATTTTGTTCTTGTCATAATTCATATCCGATATCTCTGTTCACATGATTGATATGTGGAGTCAGTCACACAGTTTTTAAAACGTATATTACATCACCAGTTTAACTAGCCTATTAGCGATAGACTAACGTCTCTGCGTATAGACATATGGCCTAGCGAGTCACTATCTAAATCTTGGAGAAGAAGTACAAACGCACTATTATGAGCCAGTGACCCCGCATGACGCCATGGAAGCCATCTTGTAATTGTGACGCGCAATTGTCAAAATGGGTAACACCGTTGAGATCAGGCGTAAACATTTTAAACTCCATCCAATTCCTTACAGTAAATCTCTCCTATGTTTTCTGTATCTGTAAATTATGTTGTTATGATAGTTTTAAGGTTAAGAACGTGAAATGGAATGAAGCCATAGCGCCATTGTTTGATAGAGTAGGAAAAAGGAAATATTATCATTATTATTTTCTCTAAAAATCCATCACGGTTATATCATCATAGTGTCTGATGGCGGCTTCCACACTGGTAATAATGTTACATGTTATATATTGACGAGCCTTAATGGCCTTTATCGGGCTGGGTTGAATGATTGGGAATTGATTTGATGGGTTATTTCACTATTTTCTTTATACGTCGCTTCACTAACATTCTATATCAAAACCATAAACTTGCAATATGAAATAACGTCTATAAAACAGGCTGTGAAGACAAGATCTCATTTCCATCGACATCGGAACCACGGTAATATAATTTAGCTTAAGGAAATTGTGATTGACTGGATATAAAGTTAAAGGATAAAGGACTTTTGTAATGGACTGTTCACCCTTCTAGCTAGTCGGCCTTGCTATTACCTTCTACAGATTCGGAAGATAAAAATCGTTTTGTGGTAGGTCTATATAAAACATACGAAAAAAAAATCTTGGCTAATCATGAGAGAGCGAGAGAGAGAGAGAGAGAGAGAGAGGGGGGAGAGAGAGAGAGAGCAGGTTAACGTGCACTCGACACAAACTAGGTCATTTTGGAATTAACAAATGGTTCAAGGCACTGACTCACTAACCAGGAGGTGCCCCTTAACTTTCGGGCAGACGGGTAAAGTGAAAACAAAAATTAATATGTCATCTGGTTGGCAAAATAAAGTGCCCGAAATCTAATAAAACACTAATTTTACTTTTCTTTTAATTGAATACCACGAATTTGTACTGAATTGAGTATAGATTGTCTGGAGTCACTCTATTTTGTGCGACATTTTTCGGGCATCGATTATGTTTTGTGAATGCAGCTGCAACAGTCTGATTGGATGGTTGGAATTTGGGTCGGCATAGAGTGGGATTTTCTAGCCCTCCCACCCCCCACTCCGCCGGGCCTGACAATATCTAGTCCGTTTTAGCTTATCGGAATAGGAGATCACGTGGCTAAGTGGGTAAGACGCTGGCTCGCTAGCCTGGAGTTCGGATGTTCGATCCCTGCATTAGCCGAGAAAGTTCATCCAGATTTTCCGGCGTGGTTTTCCCTTGTCAGTGATGCAGGACGGAGGGCCTGACAAGGACAGCTGTCTAGTCGTTCGGATGGGACGAAAAACCGAGGTCCCATGTACCTATTGGCGTGCACGTAAAAGATCCCTTGGCAGTTGGAATTCGATATAAGAGTAAGCCGTAGCGCCGCTGCCCGGGCAAAATTTCCCTCATAGCACACTGTATAGCGTATGCCCTTCTTTATTAGCCCAGTTTAGGAGCAGAACAGTAGGACGTTAAACCCCATTTCATTTCATTTCATTTCATTTCTTATCGGAATATCTTGCAGTCCGCTGTGTTGGTTTAATTTAACGAGGTCTTTTAGGTAGAGGCATTTGCAACCAGTTAAAATGTTTCAAGGCGGATTTGGATCTGCCTATTATATACGTGCTGTTGTGTTTTGGATTTTTGAAGATGTTGACTAATGGATGCTGGAAGTCTTAAAAATTAGGGGTACTAAGAAGTGGATTCAAAAGAACATTTGCAGTATTTATATTTGATGGAGTCAGAATATAAAAAAATTTAGGGAGCGATTACAGAATATGTCCTCCAATATCGTTTAGCAGTATACCTTACCCAGGATAAGGCCGATGTTGTGGCAATGTATTTCTAAAGTCTAACCGAATAACAATATGATCATGCACACGTGTTTAGTGTTTAAAGCATGGCTTGACCCAGAGTCAAAGTCTGTTTATGTTCGAACTTCTTGTGCAAACCAGCCTCGTTATGAAGTAATTATCTTTACTTGCTTTAAAAACTCTCCATTACAGTGATGACGATTTTAAAATGGCTTGTAATTGTATTCCATAGCTTAATTGATTTCATTTTCAATTGCAGGCGTTCATCCCGAACAACGCCGTTATGGAGGTAAGAATTTTTATATTACATATTATATGTAATTGTTATCAGTATCTATTCATTCGTGATGTTATGACCATGTTTACATATTTATATATTTTATGAGACAACAACAGTCAAGCTTTATTTTCAAGATGTACCCCCCCCCCTCCTAGTTATTGTAATTTGGATGCAGACCTACTTTTTTTTCTTGCTTATTCCGTTTACCCCCTTCTCTTCATTTCCACTTCCGTGGACTTTTTGGTTTGAAATTGAATTGAAGAAAAGGGGTGAATTTATATTTTCTGTTGATGATTATAGAGGTTGGTTATACAATGTGAGGTACTTACTTACATGTTGTCTGCTATATCTCATCGAAGGAAGCGGTCATTAAATAAACCCGTTTCATGCATGGTTGGATGTTTATTTGTATATGCTACTTTTAGTTTGTGTATCTGTCCGTATTTCCATGGTGAACCTCAAACAGGCATTGCACACGACTCTGTGGACATGTTAGGGCAGGTTGTGTTCGAAAAGTCTTATATTTTGTTATTGTTTTTGTCTACCTTTACCCAAGTGAACAATTTGGTTGAGCGTGCGTGCGTGTGTGTGTGTGTGTGTGTGCGCGCGTGAGTGTGTGCGAGAGAGAGAGAGAGAGAGAGAGAGAGAGATGAACTTGTGTCGGTTGAACTTTAAACCCCATTTGTTTGCCCCTCTTTGTAATTACCTTTTGGTCATACTTTGTTAAAGATCCGAATTGTGCCTTGTTTAAAGATTGATCAATGTCTCTAAGAGAATATATAATTTGTACTTGAAAGTAGAAGAAAACACTTTATCACCCAATAATACATTCTACAGTAGATATCGCTTGTGTGATATATTTCATAATCTACTGCGATATCTCCTTAGGAGATATCGCTTTACATGAATTTGATTGGGCAGTTGAAAAGGAACTACATGTACTTTTTTTATTTTCAAAGAACAGTTCATTTCTTAATAAAAGTAACTTTTTTTAAATTAAAAATGAACTATTGTTATTCAATTAACCTTGATAGAAACACTGGGTCAATATAAAGGACTTTGCAATGGTTGAATTGCTGTCAAAAAATGATGTATCACTACGCCGTAGAGTTCAGTAAAAGTGAAATCTACAGCAAAGAATTATATTTATCTATTTGTGCATGTAAGAAGGGATTGGGTGATAAATAGAATCTCCTACTCGTCTTTTTTGATATCAAAAAAGACTGGTAGGAGATTCTCTATATATCTTTTTTAATTGCCATGGCTATTTCTGGCTTCCACTCTGCTTCAATATTTGACCTTTTACGAGATCAGAATGGGTTTATTTAATAAAATCATTTGAAGTTACGGAATGGCTTTATTTCGTAGAAATGGCTATAAGGAGTACCACAAGTATACGGGAGCCCATCAGTAACACTATCATAAAATTGCGGAAATTGTGCTTTGTGTGTAATTTTGTAAGTTATCTTCATCATGTATTGGTGTGACCATTTGCCCCAGAAAGTTTTGGTTACCATTTGTTTGAAATATTTTAGGTTTTGATGCATACGTAAGGCATACACCTAGCCAAAATTGTTGTTGCATAAATGGGCATTCATAGACATCAACCAGACTCTCTAGACAAATTGCTATGCAGATGCATGGAAGAATCTAATATTCCTCCTCTTTTGAATTGCTTTAACACGATTTACGTTTTATTACACGAACTGTCGTAATTATTGATGTGAACATGTTACAGCTGTATAAAATCTTATTAGCGATTAGAACAAGCTGGAAGTGATGGGGTGGTTCATTCAACCTGTATAATGTAAATGTTAAACCATGCGATGTTTGTCCTATTCAGTTATGTGTCAATATAAGTTAGATGTTCCAAAACATCATGGAAACGACATGTTAGAAACCATTTATGTGAAACTTCAGTTAAATGAATATAAAAATAAATGTGATGAGATCATCTACCAAATAATCTGTAGGTCCAGTATTAAAGCCAAATAACAGTTTGTTGACGCTAAATATGTTGTGATAAATAATAAGTGCGTCATATTTCCGTTCCTGTAACCTATCAGAGTTATCGCCCTTCTTTTGCAAACGCTCAAAATATATTTTTTTCCCAGTCAATACCTTTAATACCTTTAATTAAGAAGTTGAAACGCCTTCACAGTTTCTTGAATTGTGCTTTAATTATATTGAACTATGCTACTTTAAACTCGTGAATATAATGCCATTTCGAAATATACTCTGTTTGATTATATGATTAGGTTGTTTTGGAGATTATTTAGCTTTTCATCAATAAAATCCTACGTGGGCGTACGGTTGGTTGCTTTTATCGCCAGTTTCCCAATTTAACACCATCGATTTTTGATTAATTTATTTGGAGATTTGGTTCATTGCTAAGTAGTTGCATGAAAGCCGTGAGTTGAAAGCCTGTCGGTTTTTGGTTGTGTCATAATTTACCGTGTCATCTTTACCTTTTTGCTTTTCAGCTTGGGCATTGTAATTTAATTTTGAGGGGTATTTAGAGTCGCCATTTTCTTTCTTAATAAAAGACATGGCCCATTACAGGCTCAATTAAACATAAGTTATGCAAGAGCTAAATCTGCCTATTGCAGGTCTTTTTCTAGGCCTGAAATGTTATCTAAATTATTAATTAGACATTAATTAAACATACATTATGCAAGAGCTAAATCTCTCTATTGCAGGCATTTCTTTAGGCCTGAAATGTTTTCTAAATTATTAATTAGACATTAATTAACCTATCCAGACCATTATCAACTCTAGATGGCATCGCTAGCCTGCGATCTTTAGTGGATTATGAGTCGATTTACTGCATAACTTTCCTTCACGATTTAACAATTAAGTGGATAATCGAGACTATGCTGTTTATCGTACTGACTTTAGTAATGATGATCGAGGCTAGGTGGACATTTCAATCGCTTATTTCTCGGTTCATAGAGGATCAATTTGAATGAAATTTTCAGGAAATTGCCTTTACATTATCTAGTTTTTAACTATTATAGTGAGACCTGCCAACTCGTTATCGAATCTCCCATAATGTATCTTTAACTTATCCAGACCATAATCAACCCTCGATGTCATCGCTAGCCTGCGATATTTACTGGATTAGGATCCGCTTTGGTGCTCAACTTTCATTCATGATTAAATCATGAAATTGATAATTGAGACTATGATTTTATTGACCAATTTTAATGATGATGATCGAGGCTAGGCCGAAAATTCAATGCTAAATTCCTCTGTAATTTCAGACGCTTTCAAATATTTCGGTCGGCTGACCCCCTTTCTTGAAACACGGAGACATAAATTTGATTTCAGATATCTTTCTGCCTTGAAATTCGAAATCAATACCTTTTTTGACCCAACTCAAAAATGCGAATTTCATCAATACAGTTCCAGATAATTTAAATAAATTTGCAGTAAGAATGTGATGAATATATACGATACATGACATTTCAGTAGGGAAAGTTGTCAAGACATTATTATCAGACAATCAGCGGCTGTGTGATAGATGGCTTTTACTCCTATATTCATTATTTTTATTACTAAATGTCTTATTTTCCTATACAACTTGCTTGTAAACATGTAATGATATTTTGAACCGCCATTGTATTCCCCCTGTTTGTTTAAAGATATATTAACACTTTGGGATTGTACGCTAGTCGATTTTTACGTAAGAGCTAACTCTGTCTAAGGTCTTTTTCTGCCTATAAATGTTATATAAATTATTACTTAAACATGTATTCACATGACAAGCCCATAAACAACTCTCGAGGCCAGCTCTTGTTCGAGATATTAAATGGATTAGAACCGCGTGCCATTTAATAATTTTACGTTAAAATGGGTAATCAACACATTGTTTATTATCATAGCAATGGTACTTAACATTCACGACTACCTACGTTAAATCTTGTCAAAACGTCAAACACCCATAACTTCGTTGAGAATAAAGTAATTTGACTGAAATCTTTGATATTTATTTTCACTATCAATGTTTGAACTGTTAACACAAGAACGGTCAGCTCTTTATCTAAATCTTACATAATGAATCTTTAGCTGTACATATATATATATATATATATATATATATATATCTAATCTCCATTCCGAGTTTTACACAGTATAACCTTTTAGCGGCATTCACTATTTAGTGCATTAGGCACCGGCCTGTGAAAAATGTTTTGAGTCTAGAGTTGATTTAAAGGGCAAATCCGATAATATTTTGAGGAATAAAACTGCTTAATTTTGTGTTAAAATCCCTTAAAACCCTTTACCTTAGGGCCGATACGTTTTCAAACAACTTAAACCCTCCAGTCTTCATCTGGAAATGGAGACCGGTGTTCTAAGCTGTAAAATTTACCTTTTGTTATCAAGCACAGCACATGAATCATTCATTGTATTAAAGCCTCTAAATCAGTGGTTCTCAGCCTTTTTTTTGGCATCGGCACACCTTAGAACACATGAAAAAATAGCGGCAAACCTGGCTAAATATTTATAAAAAATATTTGAATTTTGCAAAATAAACACATGGCAAGTCACACGACAGACAACCGTAGACACAGACTAGTCATATACAGATAAAATGACTCAAACGAAATAAAGAAAAACATAACTATCAACTTACCGGTAGACACCAGTGAATACTCAATTAGGGATCACGTGGTTTTTCGCATTTTCTTAGTGTGCCGTTCAAAATTTCGCGGCACACTGGTTGAGAATCACTGCTCTATAAAGGAACGGGAATCGATTATCAGGTCACCCAACGAAAAAATTGACCCGAAATCTTTAAAGGGTTACGTGTCTGGATAAGCAGCTTTGACGTTCACGTCCATACGACTCAATATTTTGAGTTGAAATTTTGAGACAAAGTAATACATCATTCCTCTATATTTTTGAGACTCGGGATGGGGGGGGGGCACTTTGGCTGGGACGAAAAAACGAGGTCCCGTGTACACATTGGCGTGCACGTAAAAGATTCCTTGACAGCTGTAATTCGA